ATATTTAAAATATTAATTTTATTTTATGTGTATGAGTGTATTGCCTGCATATATGTAAGTGTACCTGTGTTGTGCAATGCCCTCAGAGGTCCAAAGAGGGCGTTGGATTCTCCTGGAACTGGAGTTATGGACGGTTGTTAGCTGTTGTGTGGGTGCTGGGAATTGAACCCAGGCCCTCTACAAGAGCAGCCAGTACTCTTAACTGCTGAGCCATATCTCCAGTTCCTGATTATGTTTTTTTGTTGTTGTTGTTTTGTTTTGTTTTTTGGTCTCTTTTTTGAGAGAGGGTCTCCCTGTAGCTCTACCTGGCCTGGATTCACTATGGAGACTAGACTGGCCTCAAACTCACAGAGATCCTCCTGCCTCTGCCTCCTGAGCGCTGGGATTAAAGGAGTGTGCCAACACGCCCAGCCCTGATTATGTTTTAATTTACTGTACAGGACACAGCCAGGATTCTTTAAATGTAGAAGCTCTTATTCCTCATTCATTTGTAGAAATTTTTCATATTTTTTTAAAAAGGCTTTAGGCAAAGGAGCCTCTTCCTTATTTCTTTTTTAAGATTTATTTTTATTTTTATTTTTATGGGGCTGGAGAGATGGCTCAGTGGTTAAGAACACTGGTTGTTCTTGCAGAAGACCCAGGTTTGAATCCCAGCACCCACATGATAGCTAACAACTGTCCAGTCCCAGGGGATCCAACAGACTCTTCTGTCCTCCGCGGGCACTGTACGACATGAGTGCACTTACGTACATGCAGGCAATACACACATACACATAAAATAAAAATAACAAAATTAAAAAAAAACATTTTATTTTCATTTATGTATCTATATGTCTGCCTGTATGAGCGTATGCCATGTATGTGGAGGTGCCTGTGGAGGCCAGAAGAGGGAGTCAACTCCCTGGAACTGGAGTTACAGGTGGTTGTGAGCTGCCTGGCATGGGTGTTGGGAGCTGAACTCTGGTTCTCTGGAAGTGCAAGAAGCACTCTTAACTGCTGAGTCATCTATCCAGTCCCATTACAGCATTTTTTTTTTTTTTGTCTTTTTGAGACAGGGTCTCCCCGTAGCCCCAGCTGGCCTGGAACTCGTTATGTAGATCAGGCCACCTAGACTGATCATTCCAGCAACAGATGAAAACTCAAAACACACAGGATTCAGTACATTTAGCATTACAAAGCTGGAAAAAGCCAGAGACAACCTCTGAATAGAGGTTTATGGCTCTAAGTCTTGTACTTTTTCTAAACAGAATTTCATGTGTCCAGGCAGGGCTCTGAGGTCATCCTTGAACTTCTGATCCTCCTGCCTCTACCTCCCAAGTGCTGAGATTACAGGTATGCATATCGTGGTCTGTTTTTGCAGTGCTGGGAAAGGAACCCAGGGTTTCACTCATGTTCGGCAAATACTCTACCAACCAAGCCACATCCTCATCCCCCTTTTTGAGTCAAGGTCTTCCTTGAACCTAAAAGGGTGGCCTTGAACTTAAAACAACCCTCTGGTCTCAACCACCTGAGTGCTGGAATCCTAAGTATGTGCCTCAGCCTCATCCATGTTCTTGTATGCATGTTATCTTTTTTAAAATTTCCTTACTGTTGAACAATACTGTACTACATAGGCACTAAAATTTATCCATTTATTAATAAACTTTGGATTATTTTTATTTTGGGGCTATTCTAAAATGTTGCCACTTTAAACATTTATGTAGAAGTCTTTTTGTGAACATGTCTTCACTTTTCTTAGATGGACAACTATTTAAAAAAAATTTTTTTTTGAGACAGGGTCTCCCTGTAGCCCCAGCTAACCTGGAACTCACTATATAGACCAGGCTGCATAGTGATCCACCTGCTTCTGCCTCGAGTGCTGGGATTAAAGGTGTGTGCTACCACGCCTAATAAATTTTTAATTATGTGTTTCTGTGTGTCTGTGTGTGGTGATGTGCAAATGAGTGCAGTACCCAAGGAGGCTACTCTGGTCAGATCCCCAGGAGCTGGAGTTACAGGCAGTTGTGAGCCGCCCAATGTGGGAGCTAAGAACCAAACTCAGGTTCTCTTCAAGAGCCATACATATTCATTTTATCTATTTTTGTAAGACTTTTTTTTTTTTTTTTTTTTTTTTTTTTTTTTTTTTGGGAAAAGGGGCATTGTACTTGCTAGGCAAGTGTTCTACCCTGACCTTTGCCCTCAACTCTGCTAATGTTAAACTTCATGTTTTAGATTGGGAAACTGAGGCTTCAAATAGTTAAGTGACTTGCCCAAGACACACACAGCCACTGTGTTGTTAAACGGATTCTTTTCTTTTTTGTCTTTTTGAGACAGGGTCTCCTTGTAGTCCCAGGTGTCCTGGAGCTCACTATGTAGACTCACAAAGATCCGCCTTGCCTCTGCCTCCCAAGTACTGGGATTAAAGGCACATACCACCATGGCCCGGCCCTAAACAAATTCTTAACAGTAATTCTTAATGATACAGGAAAGATGCTTAGGCATGAAAGTCTTCATAGCAATGTTACATTGTATAAATCGGAAATGATCTGTGTCCATCCCATTCAATAGAATGTTTTTATGATGGCTCTATTGAAATAAAGTTAGCAATACTGTAATATTTACCCTTTAGAACATACAATTCAGGGATTTACAGTATAGTCATGGAGTTGTGCAACTGTTACCACTCTTCACTTGGGAATATTTTTATCAGCTCCAAACAAACTTCATACTTGTCAGCAGTCACTCCCCATTCTGCTTGACCCTCTCCCCAACCTCAAACAACCTCTCATCTGCTTTCCAGCTCTGAATTTGCCTGTTCTGGGCATTCATCTAATTGGCCTCCTACAGTGGATGGACTTTTATGACTGTCTCATTTGGCATGAAGATGTATTTATGTTATTACATGTTATTAATATTTCATTGCTAAATAATATTCTATTGTTTATCCATTCATCAGCTAATGGGCATTTGGATTATTTCTTCTCTTTGGCTTCTAGAAATAATGTTCTCGTAAGCACTTGCTTACAGGTGTCTCTGAACATATATTTTAATTATTGAGGTGGAGGGTTTCTTTTTTTTAGAAGGTAAGAAGGTTTTATTATGGCTCATAGTTTGATAGTTTGAGGGCACAGTGTATCACAAGCAGGGAAGGCATGGTGGCAGGAGTATGAGGTAGCTGGTCACACTGGGTCTACATCCAATTAGAGTATATGTGCTGCCCAGGTGAGCCCTGCATTTGCATTCAGGAAGCACAGAGAGATGGGATGCTGGTCTTGGCTTGCTTTACTATTTTTTACAATATTTTTATTTTATATGTGTTAAGTATACCTGAGGTCAGAAGGAGTTGTATGATTCCCCTGGAACTGAAATTACAGATGGTTGTTAGCCACC